GCTGTGGCTCAAGTGGTAGAGAGCCTTGAGCTGAAGAGCTGAGGGACAGCACCCAGGCGTAGAGTTCAGGCCCCACGACCGGACCCCCCCCCCCAAAAAAAAAAAAAAAAAAAGGAAAGAAAAAGAAAAGGAAAAGCTGAATGCCAGTGGTAGATGCCTATAATTCTCAGCAGCCTGAGATCAGAGATCAGGGTCTGAAGCCAACCCAGGCAGGAAGGTCAATGAGACTCTCATCTCTAATCACCAAAAAAAAAAAAAAAAAGGTGTGGAACTGTGGTTTAAGTGGTAGAGTATTAGCCTTGAGCAAAAGTGCTCAGGGACAGCGTCTAGGCCTTAAGGTCAAGTACCAGCACTGACAACAAAAACAACAATAATAAAAAATTAAAAAGAAAAAGAAGCTGGATAGTAGTAGCTCACAGCTGTAGTCCTACTCAGGAGGCTAAGTTCCGTAGGATGGCAGTTCAAGGCCACAGTGAGCAGAAAAGTCAGTGTAACTTTATCTCCAAAAACAGTAGGGCTGGAGGCATGGCTCAAAGGATAGAGTGTCAGCTAAGCAAGCAAGAGGTCCTAAGTTCAAACAAGTACTGCGCCTATTTCCCTGTAAAACAAACAACAACAACAAAAACAAAAATAAAACAGGAAAGGAGGAGGGGAGAAATTTTCCTTTTAGGCAGTACCCCTTCTTCATTCCCATCTTTCTGCTTTGCAGTCAGGGCACGTTTTCTCAGGCAAGGTGAGAATTACATGAGAAATCTGGCCTAGCACAATGTAAGTAGCTCTGAGGTGCATGCTCCCATTTCTGCGTTCTCTATCTCACCCATTCATTCTGCACTCTGGCTTCAACCCTCAAAATGGCTCTTCCTAGGAGGAAGCACTGCCCAGTGCTTAAATCTCATAGTCTATGTCTGTCACCACCTAGACACACTTGCTTCCCTTTCATCTTCCTCCCATCTCCCTGGAAATTCCTTATCTCCATCACAGTTCTTCTCTAAGCCTCAAGGTTGCCTAGCGTTCCGGCCACTATGGTCACTTCAGAAGTGACTCCTAAATGGACATCTCCATCTCTGTACTGCTGTGCTGCATCTCCTGGCATACCATGGGTGCCCACCCCTAACAGCACCAAGTGAAACGCAGCAACTGCAAACTGACTTCTGCTCCACGTCTCTTTCCAAGTCTGGGAATCCATCTCATTCTTACCCATAACATTTATCAAAGCCCCGGGTCATTAGCTTTTATTGTGGTAGTGTCTCAAATTGAACCTTCCCTTCCAATTCCCTCTATAAATGCTGTATTTTCCTTTAAGTTGCTCAGTTCTTTCCTGAATCACTTCTGACTACAAGCTGTCCAGACCTCCAGATTGGTTCTCCCCCATTCAACGTACCCTACAACTTCACCACCAGCAGTGCACATGTGCTTAGGTCAGTGTCAGCCCCTGCTCCATGAGTCCCAAAGCTTGTTCCCTAAATGACCCAAAATCTTTTCTTTTTTTTTGTCGGTCGTGGGGCTTGAACTCTGGGCACTATCCCTGCACTCTTCAGCTCAAGGCGAGAGCTCTATCGCTTGAGCTACAGCGCTACTTCCAGTTTTCTAGTGGTTAATTGGAGATAAGAGTCTCACAGACTTTTCTGCCCTTTTCTGCCCGGGCTAGCATTGAACCGTTATTCTCAGATCTCAGCCTCTTGAGTAGCTAGGATTACAGGCGAGAGCCATCAGCACCTGGCTGACCCAAAATCTTATAGCTGGTCCCTGCTAATCTCTATTCTTATCTCTCACCCAGTCCCCCAACCACTGCCTGTTCTAGCCAAACTGAACCCTTGCTCAACACGGTATGGGCCAAGCAACCCAAAGATTCATTTCATTTTTGGAACACTATGGACACTGGTGGGTCTATCTTCTTCTTCTCTCTCTCTCTCCAGAGACGCCTGATTGGCCAAACTGAGCTCAGCACTTGCTCCCTAAGAGAATCCTCTCCAGGTCTCCTCACCCCGGTGTCTGTGAGATGCTTTTTCTGTGCTGTCACAGCATCCTTGGCACACATCTATTGTGTCTGTCACCCTGGCTCTTCCAACACTCTGCCTGGGAAATCCTTAAAGGCAACAACTGTTTGCCTTCTGTTTCTACAGCACTAAACACAGTGAGTGCCTGACACATGGAGGTGAAGGAATGCAAAGATGGATGGGCGAGTGCGTAGATGGGCTGGTGAATGTACTTGGTAAGAAGAGGACAGTGGGGGTGGGAACACTGACTCTTGCTGTGTAGTTACAGATTTCTCAGATACCAGGGACCTGGCTCTGGTCTGCAGCTGGCTGAGTGCCTCCTAGGGAGAGGGAACAATGCCCTATGTGAAACAGTTTTCACAGCCAAGCAAAGTGGGAAAATTCTAGTAGGCTGAACTTTTTTTCCTCCAAAAGAATCTGTTTTGTTTCAAATCGTTAAGTAACTTATCAGTTTTCTAAATTTGCCTGATAAAAATAAAATGTTGGGCTGGGAAGGTGACTCAGTGGTAGAGTGCTTGCCTCGCATGCATGAAGCCCAGGGTTCGATTCCTCAGTACCACCTATATAGAAGAAGCCTGAAGTGGCGCTGTGGCTCAAATGGTAGAGCGCTAGCCTTGAGTAAAAAAAAGCTCAGGGACAGCTCCCAGGCCCTGAGTTCAAGCTCCAGGACTGGCCAAAATAAAATAAAATAAAATAAAATGTTATCTGAGTGCTAGAGGCTCATACCTGTAATCCTAGATACTCAGGAGGTTGAGATCCAGAGGATCAAGGTTCAAAGCCAGGCCAGAAAAGTCCTCAAGACTCCATCTCCAAAACAGCCAGCAAAAAGCAGGGCTGGATGCATGGTTCAAGGGGTAGAGTGCCAGCTCAGCAAGCTAGCTGAATAGCTCTAGGCTAAGTTCAAACTCCATTACCAGTTATGACTACTGAGGAAGCCAAGGGACACTGAATCCATGAGCAGGCTGGATAGCCAGAGGCTGGAAGGCTGAATTTAGCCCATCTTATTTGGATGCCCAACCCCTAGGGATATGGCTACAAATGAGGACACTGGTACTAGATGGCTGGCTGAACCATTCTGATAATGACTACAGAATTGTGTGCTCAATGAAAAAGGTATTTTCACAGCAGTATTGTTGGAGGTGGTAGTACTGGGAGAGGACTGGGCTCCTCCCCAACATGGAACACTGCCTCCCCAACCCCCCCCCCATGCAAGGCAGGTCAGCCAGCGACTGCACAGACGAGCGGTCCAGGAACAAAGGATGTCCTTGATGCCAGCAAAGGAGCCTCTCCAGACTTCATGAAGAGCACATACTGCCTGTTTTTACACAGAACAGCAAAGGGTTGTTTTTTTTTCCCCATTCCATCCCTCTGCCCTTTAGGACCAGGAGAGCCAGGAAAGGGATAGGTAGAGTTCATAATTCTAGGTATTTTAGAGAGAACTTTTTGGGGAAAGACGCAAACAGTGCAGCGAGGCCTTTTAAAAACTCAATTCAAAAACGTGTGTTGCTAAATGAAGTACTGCTTAGTACTTTAGACATAGCCTAAACAATTCAAATTTCTTTCCATTCTGTTATTCTCCACATGTGCCTGTTGTATGAACTCTTTCCATTCCGACTGATTGCTTTTCCCAGGATGCACCTGAGAGGCAAAATCTCCTTTGGACAGCTGTCTACTTCTCACCTAGGTCACATGGAGGCAGAACTGACTCTAAGCAAGGGTATACGGTCTCAAGCTGAAGCATCAGCAAGCTGATGAGGGCAGCAGGAAGAGGCTGACTGCATATCAGACAGGGAGGAAAGGTAAGCTTTGCTCATAAGCACTCAGAGGAGCAGGGCAGAGATAGCTACCACAGGAGAGGAAGGTGGAGGCCCATGGGACTTAACCCTGAGAGGAGTCATTTCAAGAATGCCAGTGCAGACATTACTTGCAACTCCTTCAAAGCCACTCTCAGAGGTATTAGATCAGCAAAATCAATGACACAAAGACAGAGATGACCAGCATGAGATGCAGTTAATGGAGATGAGCTTTGTCAGAACACAGGCTCACAAACTGGTTAGAAATGGCCAGTGAGATGCACGATGCACAGGGTCATGTATGTGTGGCCCCAGGGTGTGGCAGGGACAGCAGAGTGATCACAAGGATGGGAAAAGAGAAGCCCCAGATAAACATGAAGGCTTTGGTCTTACCACTTCATCCTCGGTAGGCTTGAAAACACAAATTGACACTTAAGTGGGAAGCCACGCCACAAACAAGGTCACAAGTTATAAGCACATACCTCGGGAAGGATTGGAAATATTAAATGGGGCTAATATGTCAGAAGCAGGCCTTGTTAGCACACACAGGGATTTAGAGGATTAAGTCACATATTTTTAAAAAGTATCCTGATATCTGGCATTAAAAAAAAAAAATCAGAGTCAAAGTAGGCAGATAGACTTAACAGCCCAAGCTGGATCCTCCATCTCATTTCTATCCTATTTATTTTAAAAAGAATATGATGAGTGGATGAGATTTAATAGTTAAGTTTGGAGGCTTTGTGCTATGAGTAGCTGGGCAAGGAGAGTGGACTCAATAATTAGAGATGGAGGTAATGACTTAAAGAAAGACTAGCCTAACCTGATGTTTCCACTCTCCCTATAAAAAGAAGGCGAGTAACTACAACAGGAAAAAAAGCAAAAAAAAAAAAAAAAAAAAGCTCCAACAAAATATCTGCAATAAGAACATACCAGAGAGGTAGGCCTTAAAAAGTATCAGTGATTACAGCTGGTAAGCAGTCTAAGTAGAATAATTCTCAGAAGGATCAAGGGATGAAGAAGCTATCCTAAGCTCTCTGTGCTTCTGGTAACAAAAGCTGGGACACTAGGTGCTGCCTGGGCCAAGGAGAGCAGTTAGTAACTAAGGTCACATGCAAAGTACTTCAGGCAACAGGAAAATCAAGAAGAGCAGAGCAAAGCTGCTTCAGGCTCCTTGGGCTACACCTGGAGCTTAAGAGTGAGGCCAGCTGTAGTGCCCTAAGTGGTCCAGAAGGTGACCAACTATTATTATTTTTTTTTTTTTTAAGGAGAAGACTGAAGTGAGCCTCTGAGGAAAACAAGACTAGGCTGACCCGACCGAGCTGGAAGAAGATGCCCACACCGCTGGATCTTACCTCTTCCGCGTCCTCTGAATGGGTGGAGAGCTGGTCATGCTGAATTATCTCAGCATCCTCCTCTGTTGGTCCGTTGCCCACCCTGATCCCACCAAAGTTGAGAGTTCCCTACACAGATGAACAGAAAGAGTAGAATTTGCCTGGGCTTTAAAGTGACATTCTGTGAGGTGGGGAAGGGTGATGGTTAGTACATACAAACCTCAGAAAGGCATACATCCTAACAACAAAAGCAAAATTCACTGAACAGTTGTGGTGAAGGCAACTGCTCCCATCCCAACCCTGCCCCAGCCCCCACAGGTGTAACCAGCATTTATCACTTCATCTGGCTTCACCAAGATGCACCAGGCTCACCCTGATCAAAAACTGAATATGAAGACTCTCCTAACAAGTGCAGCTCATCCATAAAGCTTGCCAGTGGCCATGTTTTACTGCAAATGAAGATTAGACTTTCTAAGAGGGAGGGTAATCAAATGACAAGGCGAGTTTATCTGGTAAGTTTCAACAGAAGCTCAAGAATTCCAGCAACCTCTCTCAAATATGCACTGGGTTTCTTACTAAGATAAAGGACTCCCTAAGTCAAGAAAGACAACTCCCTCCACCCCCCCCACAACTTTATGTACAATCATTTGTTGCTAGAGAATGTATGATGTTCAAACTACTCCTCTAGGTTGGGAATGTGGCTTAGCGGTAGAGTGCTTGCCTAGCATGAATGAAGCCTTGGGTTCCATTCCTCACACCATATACACAGAAAAAGCTGGAAGTGGCGCTGTGGCTCAAGTGGTAGAGTGCTAGCCTTGAGCAAAAGAAGCTCAGGGACAGTGCCCAGGCCCTGAATTCAAACCCCAGGACTGGCACCAAAAAATAAATAAATAAAAAGTATTCCTCTATAGGCATATGGGCAGATGCTGACTTGGTGTTTGCTCTTCAGTCTTCAGCAGGATCTCTATACACAGAATTTTCAAGTCAACTAGATTTACAAAAACTTGGGTTGGGCTGGGAAGGTGGCTCAGTGGTAGAGTGCTTGCCTTGCATGCAAGAGGCCCTGGGTTCGATTCCTCAGCACCACATAAGCGCAAAGAAAAAAAGCTAGAAGTGGCGTTATGGCTCAAGTGGTAGAGCACTAGCCTTGAGCTGAAGAGCTAAGGGACAGTGCCCAGGCCCGGAGTTCAGGCCCCACAACCGGACCCAAAAAAACAAAAACAAAAACAAAAAAACACTTGGGTTTAGTTCAGCACTGGCAGCTCACAAGCGTAATCCTAGGTACTCAAGAGGCTGAGATTCTGCCTGGTATCCTTGGCAGAAAAGTCTGTGAGACTCTATCTCCAAAAATAACCAACCAAAATTTAGGCTGGAGCCAGGCTCTGGTGGCTCACACCTGTAATCCTTCTACTCAGGAGGATGAGATCTGAGGATTATGGTTCAAAGTCAGCCAGGGCAGGAAACTCTGTGAGACTCATCTCCAAATAACCACCAGAAAACGGGAAGTGATGCTATGGCTCAAGTGGTAGAGCACTCACTTTGAGCTGAAGAGCTGAAGGACAGCTCTCAGGCCCAGAGTTCAAACCCCATGACCAACAGAAAGAAAGAAAGAAAGAAAGAAAGAAAGAAAGAAAGAAAGAAAGAAAAGAAAGAAAGAGAGAGAGAGAGAGAGAGGGAAAGAAGGAAGGAAGGAAAGAAAGAAAGAAAGAAAGAAAGAAAGAAAGAAAGAAAGAAAGAAAGAAAGAAAGAAAGAAAGAAAAGAAAGCAAACCAGGTAATCCTGAGGCCCTAACTTCAAGCTCCCATACCAGACCTCTTTCTCACAAAATGCCGCCCCCCCAAAAAATTAAATAAACAAAACTCTTGGGGTTCATTGATGTAAAAGTCCTCTGGTTACAAAATCCAGGATGAATTGGGTTAAAATAGCAGCAAAGTAAAAAGGTGTTTGGAGCTGGCTGCCAGTAGCTCACACCTGTAGTCCTAGCTATTTAGGAGGCTGAAATCTGAGCATTACAGTTTGAAGCCAGCCCAGGAAGGAAAAGTCTATAACTCTAATCTCCAATTAACCACCAAAAAGCTGGAACTGAAGCTGTGGCTCAAATGGTAGAGGTGCTAGCCTTGGGCAAACATGCTTAGGGACAATGCCCAGGTCCTGAGTTCTAGCCCCAGGATTAGAACAATAAATAACTAAATAAATAATAGGAGTTGGCTGCTCTTCACACTTCAGATAGCTTCTGTCTAGGGACAATGTAGAGAGCTGTCTGGATGGCAGCACCCAAAGTATGAAAGCAGGTTTGACCAGAATCCTATAGTCCTCCTCTCCAGCTTCACTTTTTAGGTGCCCTGCTTACCGCAGCTCACTGCCCGCTCAGACCCCTAGCATTTGCAGCAGTGGTCCTTACATGCTGTCCAGAGAACCAGCTCCATTAGAATCACCTTGGAAGCTACTCTTTAGATTCTCAAATACTATTTTTAGAAATATTTTAGGTCTTGGGTGGACATAGGAAATTTTTATTTAAAAACTACTATCTTAGCCAGGTGCTGGTGGTTCATGCATGCCTGTAATCCTAGCTACTCAGGAGGCTGAGATCTGAGGATCATGGTTCAAAGCCAGTCTGGGCAGGAAAGTCCATAAGACTCTTATCTCCAATTAACTACCAGAAAACCAGAAGTGGTGCTGTGGTTCAAGTAGTAGAATGCTTGCCTTGTGCTGAAGAGCTCAGGGACAGTGCCCAGGCCCAGAGTTCAAACCCCATGACTGACCAAAAAAAAAAGAGAAGAAAACTACTATTTGGGGCTGGGAATGTGGCTTAGTGGTAGAGTGCTTGCATGCAGGAAGCCCTGGGTTCCATTCCTCAGTACCATATCCACAGAAAAAGCAGGAAGTAGTACTGTGGTTCAAATGGTAGAGTGCTAGCCTTGAGCAAAAAGAAGCTCAAGGACAGTGCTCAGGCTCTGAGTTCAAGCCCCAGGATTGGCAAAAAATAAAAAATTACTATCTTTACAAGTGTAAAGTGTACAATCACAGTAAAGGCCATATCAAAATGTAAAACACATGCATCCTTGAGATTCAATAATGGTACTGCTGGAAAGCTTTAACAAAGTATGTATGGACAAGGATTAATTATGTATCATAGTTTCTAATAGCAAATAACTGGGAAAAACCAACACATCCATCAATGACAAGAGTGCTCCCATAATTTTGGTAATCCAAGAGACTATTCTACAGGTTACTATAAAAGTGAGTACCACTATGAAACACCCTCTAAGATAAACTAAAGTTCTAAAAAAAAAAAAAACTAAAAAAAATCAAGGGGTATACAAGTCTAAAGTGCAGTTCAAACCCCAATTCTACTAAAAGTGTTATAGTCCAAAACACAATTCCATACATCTCTCTCCTTCTACACACACACACACACACACAGATGATAGACAGATACAAAGTTCCTCATTGTTAACAATGCTTTAGAGGAGAACATAGCAGGGATGAAGGTTTCTTTGTGGTTAGTACTATAAGCACCCTCTAGCCAAGTGTACCTATTGCATTATTTAATGTCAGTAGGAAATTTTCTGAGTGAGAATTAATATGAATCATAAGCTTCTTGTATTTCTTCCACTTATTTAATACTCTTAAGAATTTAATACTCTTAAGGAACAAATTAAGTTTACCAGGTGATTCAGATGTTTGGTCAGATTTTGGAAGTACTATAGTTTGAATACTTCCAGGTCAGGCACAAATGACATCTGACCACTCCCAAAAGAAGGACTTCAAGTGGCGTTGTGGCTCAAGTGGTAGAGCACTCACCTTGAGCTGAAGAGCTGAGGGACAGCGACCAGGCCTAGAGTTCAAGCCCCACAACCAACATAAATAAATAAATAAATAGAAGGACTTCAAGTATAACAAGAATTTCTTCTTCAAAAGAAGTCCACAAAAGGACTTCAAGTGTAGCAAGAACATCTTCTTGTCCCAAGAGGACAAGCTAAAGGAATATGATGGTTTGCAAACTGGGGATATTAACTCAGTCTGTCACAGAAGAAGTACTAGACTTCAAAGCAGCAAGACCATCTCAGAAGCACCTTCTGATGCTGAGACTGGCAAAAAGACCAGTATGAGGGAAGACCATCAGCCACAGGTATTGTGTGCTTTTATTTTTTATTCATAGGGAAGGAGAAAGTAAGTCCCTGCTGGAAAATAGTTTGAAGCAGCAAAATTGAAATTCCTGCTGATCTTCCCCCCCACCCGAAAAAAAAAAAAAAAGAAAAAAGAAAAATCATCCTTTTTCTAGTAGGATGGCTAAGTAATTTTCCAAGTTTAAAATGATCAGGAGCCCATAATGGAAAAAAGCGGTTATCCATGTAAACATTTCATTTTCCTTAAAGGAGTATGTGCTACCAGAGCATGGAAGTACATAGGTAATCACTAATAGTGAGATTTTACAAATCCAGAATGAATTAGGCTGATATTAGTATAATATTATGGTTAAAAGATACCTTTCAGAGCAAATACTGAAATGTGTTGAAGTTGAAAGTGCTGTTACTGAATCACAAGATAGTATCAGAAGGAGGGAAGATGAAGACAGAACATGAACTTGGTTATTACACCAGATGTATAGCATGCACAAGACACATGGGAGAGAGATTTCAATGAAACAGCTGAAGATGTGAGGGCTTCGGAGTCTTACAATAAAGGGAACAAGTATACACTCTCATTCTAGAAGGATAAGTCAATGCTAAAAAGGACCAATGTCCAAGCATCTCTCACGCAGAATTCTAAAGTACAGGGAAATCAACTCAAGAATCACAGAGATGTTCTAGCCTCCGTGCTGAGAAATCTCCAGTTCATAGTCACAGAATGCAGACACAAAAGTGGATGAATCCAAGAGCTGCCACTTTACAGTAAGATGATAGGACTCAGAGAGGTACAACATGCACTGTGCTCTCATGTATAGGACTATGCTTACATATCTGAACAGAAACTTTAGATCAATGTAAAGACGATACCAGAATCTACTCTTAAGAGGTGGAAAGCTCTTCTGTCAGTGTTTCAATGAGTTACAAGGACACACTTCCTGAGGGCACATGTGTGCCATGCTCTCAATAGCATTAAAAAAGAATTCTGCTGCACTGTTTGCCACCTCTTTAAACACAATGTTTGGGGTGATGGATTTAATGCACTCACTGTTGCAGCCGCTGCTGCCTCTAGTCCCTGTTGGCTCGGGGTTGGGCTGACTGGGGCCTCCACAGGTTGCCCTTCCTGATAGTGAATGGAAGAAAAGAAAGGAGAAGAAAACAAAAGAGGGAGGGAGGGAAAGGGGGAGACGAATGGAGGGTACGTGGAAGGATGAAGATGGTCAGAAAAGGGAGAAGGACGGTCTTGTAACTCAGCTGCTTTCCAATAGCAGGAATAATCTTACAGTCACATGAATATCATGCAACAAGGTCTTTGGGGCTTCCCCAGGCGTGCAGTAAATAAGCATTATTGGATAGCCAGAAATTACACAATATTGAACACTGGCCAACATATGCACACATACATTAGTAAATACTTGTATGTACGCTGTTGCTTAAAAGGAAAAAAAAAATCAGTGTGCTTTAAACCAAACCTTTTTCCCGGATGTTTGCTCAGTGAAAGTATCATGGTCTCATTTTAAAAGAAAATGTCCCAGCATCAGTCCTGTGGTTGCCCAGGCAGACCACATGAGTTGTTTCATCGTGTGCAGCTCTTCTAGCCTTGCTTTGGCTGATGCTGCATATAACAGGACTGGATTCTTCTGAGCACAGTATGAGTAAATCATGACCACAAAAGATAGCAGACACATGGTTTATTCTCTCCACCCCAGCCACTCAAAGGCTGAATCCAGATGTTTGAGCAACAAATATGTATTTCTCTACTTCCGCAGGCCCAGTGATCATGCTGGGATACAAAGTAAATGCATTTTAAGAATATACAGATGTTTGAAAATTAATTATATACTTTGGGGAACTGCTTTGATCTTAAAAAAAAAAAAAACCTAGTAATGCCAGTGTAGGAATATACTCACCAAATGCTTCCTCCTCAGATACTGATGACGAAGGATCAGTGGCTTACACAACAGCATCCAAGGTACACATAGTAGGGCCACCACTACCAGGAAACACTGAATTCCTTTCTGCAAAGTTAAGAATAAGGCACATCACATGTAAGTCCATCAATCAATATGCAACACAATTTTCCCCCAATGTTTCCTTATCTATTTATGAATACGACTATCTGGTTTCTCAAAAATGATCAACAGATACTATAAGTCCCAGAATTGTCCCATAGATGGTAATTCTAAACTACATCCTTTCTGAACACAGAAATTATAGTGAATTCTCCAAAGCCAAAGGAGGATGGTCTGAACTTAGATCTGGATACATAGGCTGAAAACCAAACACTATAGAAAAGGAGTCTTCATCTAACTTTTTGTTTATTTATTTATTTTTGGGTCCAGTCATGGGGCCTGAACTCTGGGCCTGGGCGCTGTCCCTCAGCTCTTCAGCTCAAGGCTAGCGCTCTACCACTTGAGCCACAGCGCCACTTACGTTTTTTTTCTTTTTGCTTATGTGGTGCTGAGGAATCGAACCCAGGGCCTCATGCATGCAAGGCAAGCACTCTACCACTGAGCCACCGTCCCAGCCCTTCATCTAACTTTTTGACCTAGGGTAACTATCTATGACAGCTCTCCTTTAAGTTGACATACCTGTCCAGAATACAGCATTGGAAAACCTGATTCCGGGTAGGAAAAGAGGAACATGTTTATGAAATGGATCAGAAGGCTTGGTGCATTCTCAGATGAATGAGCATCATAGGCTGTCCACTTGTAAAAAATAAGGATAACCAAGTAGCCAAACAAAGAGGACATGAAGATTATTTCAGGGATGAATCCAAGGTAGATGTTCAGGGGCTTCTTGAAATAGCTAAAAGAGAAAAGAGAAAGAAAACGTAAGAATAAACAGACCCAGGGCCACCTCGTCATTGAGGGGAACAGAATGCTCACAAGAGTTCTCCTACAAGGGGCTGGGAAGGTGGCTCAATGGTAGAGCCAACAAAAACAAGAGAAAGAATTCACTCAGTTTGACAAAATTGCTGAGGATTTTTTAAAAAATATTTTTATTACAACTGTAAATCGTTAAAGGACATACATAAAAAACTCTCAGGGCCTGAGCACTGTCCCTGAGCTTCTTTTACTAAGGTTAGTGCTCTACCACTTGAGACAAAGCACCACTTCTGGCTTTTTTGGTTTATATGGTACTGAGGAATGGAACCCAAGGCTTCACGCATGCTAAGCAAGCACTCTACCACTATGCTACATTCCCAGGCCTATCCCTGAGTTTTTGTGCTCAAGGCTAATGCTCTACCATTTGAGCAGCAGCTCCACTTTTGGCTTTTAGTTAATGGAAGATAAGAGTCTAGGTGCTGATAGAGCTAATCCTAGCTACTCAGGAAGCTGAGATCTGAAGATCGAGGTTCAAAGCCAGCCCTAGCAAGAAAGTACATGAAGTTATTATCTGCAATCAACCTCCAGAAAACCAGAAGTAGCACAGTAGCTTAAAGTGATAAAGTGCTAGCCTTCCTTAGGGACAGTTCCCAGGGCCCAAGGTCAATCCTTAGGACTACTACTACCACTACCAATCAAAGAATCTCATGGTCTTTCCTGACCAGGCTGGCTTCAAATCTGGATCATCAGATCTCAGCCATCTGAGTAGCAGGGATTATAGACATAAGCCACTGGTCCTCATTTAAGACCATGAGATTTGTTGTTGTTGGTGGTGGTTATGGGGCTAGAACTTTGGGCTTGGGTGCTGTCCCTCAGCTCTTCAGCTCAAGGCTAGCACTCTACCACTTGAGCCACAGTGCCATTTCTGGTTTTCTGGTGGTTTATTGGAGAGAAGAGTCTTACAGCCTTTCCTGCCCGGGCTGACTTTGAACTGCAATCCTCAGATCTCAGCCTCCTGAGTAGCTAGGATTACAGGCGTGAGCCACCAGCAACTGGCAGCCATGAGAGAGAGAGAGAGAGAGAGAGAGAGAGTGTGTGTGTGTGTGTGTGTGTGTACAGGCGTGAGCCACCAGCAACTGGCAGCCATGAGAGAGAGAGAGAGAGAGAGAGAGAGAGAGAGTGTGTGTGTGTGTGTGTGTTTCGGCCATGGTGCTTGAACTCTGGGCCTAGGAGCTGTCCCTCAGCTCTTCAGCTTAAGGTGAGCATGCTACCACGTTAGCCACAGAGCCACTTCTGGTTTTCTAGTGGTTAATTGGAGAGAAGAGTCTCACAGCCTTTCTTGGCCAGGCTGACTTTGAACCGTGATCCTCAGATCTCAGCTTCCTGAGTAGCTAGGATTACAGGCATGAATTACCAGTAACCTTCACCATGAGATTTTTTTTTTATAAATCACTTCTACAATACAGAATCAGGTTCTGAATTACTAATCCCTCCCCAAAGATGTTTTACAATGATAAGAACAGAATAACTCACATATGGTTGAAAAGGCTCAAGCTGACTCCAAACATCATATGGACAATACCAAGAATAACAGACATTTTCATCTTAAAGGAGTTGAGGAAGGTCAGTTTGTTGGTTGCAATGTTCCAGATCTATAACCAAGAAAACAAAAGGTACCAAAGAATTCTTGAATAGAAAAATATTATTCATGTATTTAAGAAAAGACTTTTCTTAAGCTGAGCTCTGAGATCTGAGGATCTTGGTTCAAAGCTAGCCTGAGCAGGAACATCCATGAGACTCTTATTTCAAATTAACCAACAGAAAACCAGAAGTGATGCTGTGACTCAGGTGGCAGAGCGCTAGCCTTGATCTAAAGAGCTGAGGGACAGCGTCCAGGCCCAGAGTTCAAGCCCCATGACCGACAAAAAAAAAAAAAAGAAAAGAAAAGACCTTTTTTGAAAAAAGAAAACCTGATTAATAACTATCACAATCACATCCTTTTACACCAGCAAAGAGGAACTCTTAAAAGAAGACAAAGAAATATGATATATTACATAAGCCAGGTGCTGGTGGTTCATGCCTGTAATCCTCAGGAGACTGAGATCTGAAGATCATGGGTCAAAGACAGCCCAGGCAGGAAAGTCTGTGAAGCTTTTTTTTTTTTAAAGTACTTCATTGGAGATAAGTGTCTCTCAGATTTTTCTGCCTGAGCTGGCTTTGAGCCATGATCCTCAGAGATCTAAGCCTCTAAGTAGCTGGGATTGTAGGCAACCAATGTCTAGCTCAACTAAAACATTTAGAAAAATCAAATTAAGTAGAAATCAATGAAGAACTGGAAGTCTTGAAATTCATTTTTACCACAGTTGATATTACTAGCCATCTCAGAAATAAACAATGTGGGAAAAAATACACACACACATACATACACATACACACAGCTCTCCAAGGTACTTAGGTTTCTATAGTCTGATAAACTGAACAAATACATCCAAGTTTTAAAAAAAATATGTCAACTAAAAACCAAATAACTCTTCACTTTAATTCTCTTTTCAGGGCTATATTAAAAACCTTGGAGATAGCACACAGAAAAAGAAGTACTCTTACCGGATCGATGCCAAATGGGTATGGTCCACCAAAAACTCCTCGGACAGTTGGATTCAACTGGAGAACAGGATTTCCCCGAAGTGTGTCCTCCCTACCGTGAAAAGTCACACTTACTTCTGATTAAGAGAGGAAGCCACTGGCGTGGAAAAACCCATCCCCCTAAAAACTACAAACATCTATCCTATCTCTTCAATAAGATGAAGGGACTAAGTCAAAGATGAGGATTCAGACACAAGGAAAAATTAACCAAATATCCACAACTAAATTGGGAATTTGGAGAATCTATACTTAGTATACAGATAAATAAATGCAGTTAATTTATCGTCCTAATTCTGTGATAGTTGCTGAACACATAACAAAGCACTTCAGATTAAAGCATACCTAAGAGGTGACACTGCATTCTTCTGAAACAGGGACAATACCAAGTATTTCCTAAGGGGGTGGTTAGTTTACCACCTGTCTTACAAATAAGAGCTGGATATAAAAAGAATTAGTTTTGACTTTTAGTTTTGCAACTTACGTCCAATTATATATAGTGAACATCGGCCGTACACTCCAAGATGACCCAAAGATATTAAGAGATTTGGAAAAACAGTCGTTGTAGATGAGGCCAGTGTAGATGGAGAATATGCCCATCAACAGAATGATATATCGACCACTGAACACAGTACTAAACATCTGGGAAGCAGAAGAAAGAAGTGACGGAAAAATGTACTATTTCAGCTAATGTTTTTGGGTGTAATATTTTACCCAATCCAATTCAGAAAGCTTGAACTGAAGTCCAAACTACAATGCTAAGAGGAATTTACCATGTGGCCTCTTCAGTGTTCAAATGAGCTTCTCTATTTCCTTCTAATAAATTCATGGGGGGCTGGGAAGGTGGCTCAGTGGTAGAGCGCATCCCTTGCATGCCAGAGGCCCTGGGTTCGATTCCTCAGCACCACATAAGCAAAAAGAAAAAAGCCGGAAGTGGCGCTGTGGCTCAAGTGGTAGAGCACTAGCCTTGAGCTGAAGAGCTGAGGGACAGCACCCAGGCCCAGAGTTCAGGCTCCATTACCGGACCCCCAAACAAACAAACAAATAATAAATTCATGGATTTCTAGATCATTAATTTTATAATGAATACTTAAGAAACAACTTTTCAATCTAATACAGATGTAACAAACATTACCTCATTTTCGTTCTTTTGGGAGAGGATCCGGCTCTCCCTTAACACCATCCACACAGCAAAAAGGGTCATCAAAATGCCATGGCCAAAGTCTCCAAACATCACAGCAAAGAGAAAGGGGAAAGTGATGATGGTATATGGAGCTACAAAGAACCAAAGAAAGAAAAACATAAATTACATAAAAGCACAACAATGTCCCAAATACCACATTTTTCTCTGTATTCTAAGATCAATGGGGATAGCTTATTCCTCAGCTGGCAAACAGATGAACTCTCAGGAAAAATCTTTCATGGCAGGATCTATGCACCCTTGCAAAGCAGCTAACAGGAAATGAAGGTAACATGGTTTACTCTCTAGTTCCCTTCTAACCCTTTTGACACAGCTTCTGGGACGACCAGCTCACTCCACCTGTGCAACAGCCATGTATGAACTAAATAAAGCTACCAAGTAATGGAGAAAGCCTAGAATTGTGACGGCTCCAACTAAAGATGGATGCTAGTTCTTGACAACAATTAATTTTTTCAAAAGAGGAGAGACCTGATATACTAAAAGTGGCTAATAATAACTGTTTTCTCTATATAACCTTAGAATAGGGAAGCCAGGAGGAAGTCTAAAATATATCTTGGAATATTTTTCTTAAGCCAGGCACTGGTGGCTCCCACTGGCTACTCAGGAGGCTCAGATCTGAGGATCAAGGTTCAAAGCCAGCCTGGGTAAGAAAATCTGTGAGACTTTTATCCCCAATAAACTACTCAGAAAAAGCCAGAAGTGGCACTATAGCTCAAGGGTGGAGTGCTCCCCTTGAACAAAAGGAAGGAAGGGAGGGAGGGAGGGAGGGAGTCAGAGACAGTATACAGGCCCAGAGTTCAAGCCCCAGGACTGGCCAAAAAAATTTCCTTAAAACAATTACTATAAATGATTTTCTAGAGAAGGCTAGGTATTTTATGGCTGAGAAAGACTTCAGAAAGCTGGGTGCTGGTTGCTCACGCCTGTAATCCTAACTACTCAGGAGGCTGAGATCTGAGGATTGTCGTTCAAAGCAAGCCCAGGCAGGAACATCCATGAGACACTTTTTTTTTTTTTGGTCTTTTTGGTTGGTCATGGGGCCTGAACTCTTGGCATGGGCACTGTCCCTGAGCTCTTCGGCTCAAGGCTAGCACTCTACCACTTGAGCCACAGTGCCACTTCTGGCTTTTTCTGATTATGTGGTGGTGAGGAATTGAACCCAGGACCTCATGAATGCAAGGCAAGCGCTCTACCACTGAGCCACCTTCCCAGTCCCATGAGACTCTTATCTCCAATCAACCACAAGAAAACTGATAGTGGCGCTGTGGCTCAAGTGGTAGAGTACTGACCTTGAGATGAAGAGCTCAGGGACAGTGTCCAGGCCCAAAGTTCAAGACCCATGACCAACAAAAAACAAAAACTAAATATGAGCATGAGTTCAAGTTCCAGTATAGGCACACATACATACAAAAGAATACAGGAAGCCAGGCACCGATGGCTCATACTTGTAATCCTAGCTACTAGAAAGGCTGAGATCTGAGGATGACAGTTCAAAGCCAGCCTGGGCAGAAAAGTCCATAAGACTCTTTTATTTTTATTTATTTATTTATTTTTTGCCGGTCGTGGGGCTTGAACTCTGGGCCTGGGCACTGACCCTGTGCTCTTCAGCTCAAGGCGAGCACTCTACCGCTTAAGCCACAGCGCCACTTCCAGTTTTCGAGCAGTTTATTGGAAGTAAGAGTCTCACGGACTTTCTTGCCCGGGCTGGCTTTGAACCTCGATCCTCAGATCTCAGCCTCCTGAGTAGCTAGGATTACAGGTGTGAGCCACCAGCGCCTGGCTTCCATAAGTCTCTTATCTCCAATAAACTACCAGAAAACTGGAAGTGGCACTGTAGCTCAAGTGGTAGAGCACTAGCCTTGAGCTGAAGAGCTGAGGGGCAGTGCCCAGGCCCAGAATTCAAATTCCATGACCAACACCTCCCCACCCCATCCCCCCAAAAAACAATATAGGAAAAGGAATTGTGTTTTGTGGTTTTGTTTTTTTTTTGATTGGTTGCAAGTCTTGAACCGCCTTGGACGCTGTTCCTAAGCTTTTTCGTTCAAGGCTAGTGCTATACCACTTGAGCCACAGCGCCACTTCTATTTTTCTGGTGGTTAATTGGAGATAAGAGTCTCATGAATTTTACTGCCTTGGCTGGTTTTGAATCACAATCCTCAGATCTCAGCCTCCTGAGAACCACTAGTGCCCAGCTAGGAAAGAGAATTTTAAGTGTTCCTAAGGCTTCATGACCCAGAGAATTCAATCCAGTGAGTTCTTAAAGCAGTAGATAAACTTATTATTCATGTCAAATTGACACTTGTCCCACAGGAATTACATGTGAACTGAGGACTTGACATCATCTTTAGCTTAAAGCTAGTTGATCAATGGATAGAAGAGTGAGGTATTAAAAGAATCAAATGAGAACTTCAGGAGGAAAAAGGTTCAGTGTTTTTACCTGGATTTATTTCTCGGTAAGTCCCAATTCCATAAGCATCTACTATGTTCTGAAAGCCATATGTGAACTTGTTGGTTTTATTATAGGTTGGGGGAGTCTGATTTGTCTGCATCCTGTTCAGTATGGAGGGTACAGTGGAACCACTGTGTTCCTGAAAAACATCAGCATACACATCAAGATTAGGTTGTCCTCCTCCTTGTGGCAGTGGTTACTCAGATGGATATATGTATTAAAATTCAAATTGTACACATAAAATGTGCTTTGTTTTTTTGTATAAATTATCTGCATAAAACCAACAAAAGGTTATCTTGTTTAGTCTTTGGGGACACTTGGAGTTAAGTATACAATTTCAATTAAGTCCTGAGAACATCCTTACCAGAAAAAAAAAAAAAACTTTAAGACAGAACACTAGTGTGTATCTCTAGTCCCAGCAAAATGTGGAACCAAAACTCAAAATATGGAACTGCTTCTTCCACAAGCATCACTCTCCTCTCACGGAGAAAACAAAGCATATGCTCAGTTTCTCCTCACCACTTGCTCTTCACGCCTTGATCCATGCAGTCTGGCTGCTCATTCAAACTGACTGTCTTCTCTCCCATACACAGCTGACACTGGAATTCTTCCTCTTCTTGCTCTTTATTCTTTAGGAGTTCTTTTCTGCTCACTAGCCATTCTTTTGCTGTCTTTGCTGGCTGGAAGTATGATTCAAGTGCCTGATTAGACTGGGAAGGTGGCTCAGTGGTAGAGTGCTTGTCTTGCATGCATGAGGCCCTGGGTTCGATTCCTCAGCACCACATAAGCAGAAGAAGCCGGAAGTGGGGCTGAGGCTCAAGTGGTAGAGCACGTGCCTTGAGCTGAAGAGCTGAGGGAAAGCACCCAGGCCCAGTTCAGGTCCCACAACCAACCAAAAAAAAACAAAATCAAGTGCCTGATTAGCAAGGGTGAATCCTGAGTTCAAGCCCCTCACACACACACACACACACACACACACACACAATCAAGCTGGGTGCTGGCAACTCACACCTATAATCCTAGCTACTCAGGAGGCTGAGATCTGAGGATCATGGTTCAAAGCCAGTCCACAAAAGAAAGTCTTAAAGACTCTTGTTTCCAATTAACAACCAGAAAACTGAAGTGTCACTGTGTCTCAAAGTGGTAGAGCACTAGCCTTGAGCAAAAAAGAGCTCAGGAACAGCACCCAGGCCCAGAATTCAAGCCCCATGACTGATTCCCTCACCCCCACAAAAAAATTCATTCACAATTAGGTTCTAAACAACCATATGCAATCTTAGTTCCTACTTTCAACAAAACCTTTAAAATTCTTGTTCTTGTCCCCCACACACTACCGTACCATTCTTCTGCTTTTTGTCCATATTGGTTTCTTTTCACCACTGCTGATAAATATCTTATTCATTCTGATGGTTTCATCAGAAAAGCTATACCTCTCTCCACATACATTCTACTCTTAGTGTCAACCTATCCTAATAAACTGATACTTGAGGAGGCACATTTGTATTTCTCTGAATCCTTCCAGGCCTAGAGAGCAATTGCTCTAATGAACTACAGAAGTAGTCAAGAGGAAACTGATATTCAGTTATGAGCCATGCTAAGAATCACGGGCATATGACCAAATCATTTCACCTGGTTGGTACTGTAGGACATTCTGTTTACATATAAACTATAGGATACAAGAATTATAATATTAAAAACTCTAAAAGTAAACTGGGCACTGGTGGCTTCGAAGGCTGAGACCTGAGGATCAGGGTTCAAAGCCATGAGACTCTTACCTCCAATTAACAACTAGAAAACCAGAAGTGGATCTGTGGTGCAAAGTGGTAGAGTGTTAGCCTTGAACAAACAAGCTCAGGGATAGAGCCCACATCCTGAATTCAAGCCCTATGACCAATCAAAAAAATAAAAATAAAAATAACTCTAAAAGGCAAGATGTCATAAAATGGAATTGATCAGAACCTCTCTTCCTGGTGTAAGCTTCACTGGTTAGCTTTGGAGACTCACCGTGCCCCTTCTGAGTGCAAACTGGATGGAGTCAAGATCAGTGACAGGACACCAGACTTCTGCAATCAGGCACTTCTGAGTCACATCTATGTTGCATAGGTTCAGGGTGTGGTAGATAGCCTTCATCTTCCGCACCTTGATGAACCAGACTCGAATATTCTTAGCAGCTGCCTGCAGAACCCTCTGGCGGTGATCTTCTGTTTGATTCAGAACCTTTGGAGAAAGGAACATATCTCAGAATAGGAATGGCAAAGAGGCATAGCTTTTTTAAAAAGTTACCAAAGAACTACCTTATTCTTTCTCTGGCTGGATTTTTGGATTCTTGGTCAAATTGCAAAAAATATTAGTTCTATACTAATGTACATTTTCATTTAGCTTCCAGCTGAAAAGACACCTGAGAAAACAGGTTTTAGCTTTCTCTTTATTCACCCACCAACCCAAAGCACAACAAATGTAGTTTCCTAGCTTTCACTTGGATGGCTAAAGAGCAGTACTTTCCACATAGAAGCCTGAACCTGAAGAGGTGGGTAGCACAGGTCCACAAGCTTATAAGTAGACAGTCCCACACTTAAGAATGGCAAGCAGCAGAATGCCCTGCATGTGAGCCAGCAGCACCAGAAGAGTAAAGTACTAATCACCTGACATGCCTGGAATGCGATCTGGGAGACATTATGACAATGAGGATTACTCACAGCTCCAAATGAATTTGGACTGCCACATACAACTGCCATCACAGATAAGGCTTTACTCCCTAGGTAGGCCTTTTTTGTTTTTTGTTTTTGCTGCTAATCCTGGTGCTTGAACTCAGGTGTCCCTGTGCTTTTTCTTTTCTTTAAGTGTATTTTATTAAACAGGGAACTGGTGGCTCATGCCTGCAGTCCTACCTGCTCAGGAGGCAGAGATCTGAGGATCATGGTTCAAAGCCAGTCTGGGCAGAAAGGTCCCCATGAGGCACTAATCTCCAATTAACCACTCAAAAACTGGAAGTGGCGTTGTGGCTCAAGTGGTAGAGGACTAGCCTTAAGCACAGAAAGCCTCAGGGACAGCACCCAAGCCCTGAGTTCAAGCCCCACAACCACCACCAACAACAACATATATTTTATTGTTATTGATGTACAGCGGGGTTATAGTTATATAAGTCATCCCTGAGCTTTTTTGCTCAAGATTAATGCAATACCACTTGCGCCACAGCTCAACTTCTGACTTTTTTGGTAGTTAACTGGAGATAAGAATCTTATGGGCTTTCCTGCCCAAACTGGCTTTGAATTGCTATCCTCCTGAATCAGCTTCCTGAATAGCAGAAGCCACAAAAACAAAACAACAACAACCAAAAAAAAAAAATCTTTGATGATCATAGTGTGCATAATACACACTGTGACTTGGTCAAAATCTAATTCAGTCTCAATGGATTTTAGAATTATACCAAGGCTCTTTGCCTGGACTGTGTAGTTACAAAATCAATATGGCTAGGTGCCTGTGGCTCATGCATATAATCTTAGCTACTTAGGAGGCTGAGACCCGAGGATCACGGTTCAAAGCCAGTCAGGGCAGGAAAGTGTGTGAGACTCTTATCTCCAATTAACCACCAAAAAGCCAAAAGTGGAGCACCAGCCTTGAGCACAAAAGCTCAAGGATAGAACCCAAGCCCTGAGTTCAAGCCCCAGGACCAGCACCAAAAAAGAAAAGATAAAAAGGTGACCAGATGGTCTGGGAATATGGCTTAGTGGTAGAGTGCTTGCCTAGCATGCATGAAGTCCTGGGTTCAATTCCTCAGTACCACATAAACAGAAAAAGCCGGAAGTGGCACTGTGGCGCAAGTAGTGGTAGCCTTGAGCTAAAGAAGCTTAGGGACAGTTCCTAGGCCCTGAGTTCAAGCCCAGGACTAGAAAACAAAAAACAAACAAAAAAATGTGACCAGAAACACACCATGCTATAACAGAAGCTGCCCTGGGAGAAGAATATGTGTATAAGGGTAAGACTGACTTCTGTATTCTTTTTTTCTTAGCTAAACATACTCATCCCTGCTGCCCACCTCCACTACCAGTACTGAGTTTTGAACTCAGGGCTTTGAACTTACTAGGCAGGTGTTCTACCACTGAGCCATGACACCAGCCCTTCCCTTTTTTTGTTATAAAAAAATATTGGACTTACTGGGTATTAGTGGTTCATGCATAGAAGAACTCTTAGTTCCAATTAACCACCAAAAGGCCCAAAATGGAGTTTTGGCTCAAATGGCAGAGTGCCTGCCAGCCTTGGAGCTAACAAAGCTACGGGGCAGTGCCTAGGCCCTGAGTTCAAGCCCAATACCATCACACACACACACACACACACACACACACACACACACATACATGCGCACTCTCGTAATCCCAGACTCATAAACTAGAGAGGATTTAAATCCTGATGCCTATAGCATTCCTGCCTTGAGGATAATATATATATATTTTGCCAATCCTGGGGCTTGAACTCAGGGTCTGGGTGCTGTCCCTGAGCTTCTTTTGCTCAAAGCTAGCACTCTACCACTAGAGCCACAGTGCCACTTCCAGCTATTTCTGTTTATGTGGTACTCAAGAATCAAACCCAGGGCTTTATGCATGCTAGACAAGCACTCTACCACTAGGCCACATTCCCAGCCTCAACTAACACTATTATTAACAGTCATTCCTTGAGATATGCTCAGATCCCAGGCAGACTTATACATGGGTACAACCCCCCTTCCTATCCCTTTTTTTTTTCCCTTCCTTCCTCTCTCTTCCCTCCTCTCTCCTCTCTTCCTCTCTTCATTTCTTAATGTATCCTCAACTTCTGCAGGTGCCTAACAAACTCAGTGATTTAGGAAAGACAAAAGACCTCTACTGTAGTAGTTCACAAAAACAAAAATCCCTCTGGCCCTTGGTGTACCATTTGGAGATCATCAATCCTGGTATTGACTCCGGAAGCCATCTCTTTCCTTTCTTGTGGTGTCTCAGGACAGGGATAGAGTGAGGCTCGGAACCTAAAATGTATGGGTATTGCCTTAGGAACAGTGAAGTTTTTTTTTAACATATTCAATTCAAGCAATCTCAAAAAGGAATTCTAAATTACTAGCACCACAAACAGGATTAAGTAAGGCTAATGCATTAACCAGCACTAATTATGTGATGAGGCTTGCAGACAGGGTAATAACAACATTTGAACTATTTTGAAATTCTCATAGCTATGTAATTCTCTTGAGATATTAAAAAATAGTAAGAAAATTTATTGCAAATTTCTAGGGGAAAAAATCCATGTAAAAAACTCTGTCAATATGGTAGAATTTCAGAAGAGCTATGGCTTAATGCACATATGTAAATCCACTGTCCTAGATAAAGAAAACTGGTGTTTTTTGTTGTTGGTCCTGGGTATTGAACTCTGGGCCTCTGTGCTGTCCTCCAGCTCTTTAGACCAAGGGCTAGCACTCTACCACATGATCCACAACAACGCCACTTCCAGTTTTCTGGTTTTCTCCAGTAAAAACACTGGAGATAAAAGTCTCAAGAACTTTCCCTTTGAACCTTGATCCTCAGATCTCAGCTTCCTGAGTAGCAAGGATTACAGGCTTGAGCCATTGGCATCCCACTAAGAAAACTGGTTTTGATGACACTAAAATAAACAAACAAAACACTAGGAATTATTTCTTTTTCTAATGGTTTAAAATAGACCTAACAGGAAGTGGCACTGTAGCTCAAATGGTAGAGAGCTTGCCTTGAGCTGAAGAGCTGAAGGACAGCTGAGTTCAAGCTCCACGACCGCCAAAAAAAACCACAATAAAATAGACCTAACATTAGTAACCAACATATTTACTAGGCACCAGTGGTTGACTCCTACTGGGCAGAAATATCCATGCAACTCCATCTCTAGCCACTGCAATAAAAGCTGGACTGGAGCTCAAATGGTATAACACTAGCCATGAGCAAAAAACATGAGCAAAAGCTGAGCAGTGGTAGGAACACCTACAATCCTGGCTACTTAGGAGGCTGAATTCTGAGAGTTGAGGTTCAAAGCCAGCCCAGGCAGACAAGTGCAAGAGATTCTTATATTCAGATTACCTGTAAAAAGCAATAAATAGAACTGGTGACTCACACCTGTAATCCTAGTACGAAGGAGGCTGAGATCTAAGGATCATAGTTTGAAGCCAGCAGGAAAGTCCATGAGAGTCTTATCTCCAATTAACCACCAAAAAGCTGAGAAGTAGAGCTGTGGCTCTATTGGTGGAATGGCTTGAGCAAAAAGCTAAGCAACAGCACCACAGCTCTGAGTTAAAATTCCAACATCAGCACCAAAAATAACCCAATACATGAAAGTAAATGTGGTTCAGGGCTGGGAAGGTAGCTCAGCGGTAGAGTGCATGCCTTGCAAGCATGAGGTTCTGGGTTTGATTCCTCAGCACCACATAAACAGAAAAGGCCGGAAGTGGCGCTGTGGCTCCAGTGGTAGAGCACTAGCCTTGAGCTGAAGAGCTGAGGAACAGTGCCCAGACCCAGAGTTCAGGCCCCATGACCGGCAAAACAAAAACAAACAAAAAAAAGAAATGTGGTTCAAGTGGTACAGTATCAGTCAGTCATAAGTGAAAAAGGAGACAGAATGCTGACAAGAGTTCATAATTCAAGCCCTAATACTGGCACATGTACACACAAAATAAATGATATATTCACCATGTCAAAATTGGCTCAATAGGATATGCACTTCACTATTCTGAATCCTAAACCTCATTAGTCAAGCAATAGGCTGTGCCCTCTTAGGTAAAAGCAGGTGCTTCTTACCCTTCACAGATTTTCTTGACTCTGTTTTTCAGCTGATCACCTTGGAAGAAAATGATAAACACAGACTTGTGCACGTAGTCACCCTAGGGCCAGAAACAAACACAAGAGTTCAGATTTCTAGAACGGGATGAAAATCTCTTTAACATCTAACTTTCTGAGTGATCAGGAACAACAGGAATTCTTTAAGGATATGGCCTCCTTAACTTTAGCCACTATCAGTACGTGTGTGTGTGTGTGTGTGTGTGTGTTAAGGATATGGCCTCCTTAACTTTTGTGTGTGTGTGTTAAGGATATGGCCTCCTTAACTTTAGCCACTATCAGTACGTGTGTGTGTGTGTGTGTGTGTGTGTGTGTGTTAGAGAGAGAGAGAGAGAGAGAGCACCAGTCCTGGGTTTGACCACAGGGCCTGGGTGCTGTCTCTGAGCTTTTGTGCTCAAGGACAGTGTTCTATCAGTTGAGCCAAACCTCCATTTCCAGCTTTTTTATTTTTGGTTAATTGGAGATAAGAGTATCACAAACTTTCCTGCTTGGGCTGGCTTTGAACCATGATCCTCAGATCTTAGCCTCCTGAATAGCTAAGTCAATGGTGACCAACTGTACTCCATTTCTTTTTCTTTTTTTTTTGGTCGTGAGCCTAAACTCTGGGCCTGGGCGCTGTCCCTCAGCTCTTCAGCTCAAGGCTAGCGCTCTGCCACTTGAGCTACAGCGCCACTTCCGGCTTTTTGCTTATGTGGTGCTGAGGAATCGAACCCAGAGCCTCATGTATGCAAGGCAAGCGCTCTACCACTGAGCCACCTTCCCAGCCCCTGTACTCCATTTCTTAAGCTTTATTACAAGAATATCTACATGGGGGCTGAGAAGTTGGCTCAGTGGTAGAGTGCTTGCCTTGCATGCCTGAGGCCCTGGGTTCGATTCCTCAGCACCACATAAGCAAAAAGAAAAAAGCCGGAAGTGGTGCTGTG